TAGGTACTGACACATATGGATCAGTAATGGTGCAGGACTTGAGGCTTTGCCACAGCCATGGCAGAAGTGACCACAGCCACAGGTCATTGCTATGGACAGCAAGGGAGGTCATGAGGGACATTATACCATGTGTTACCATCCCCCGGGAAAGACTTTATCACATTGATGCATTTAAGAGTTTTCTCTGCTCCCATATGTCAATTTGCATAAGGAATTACCCTTATAAAAATATTCAAAAATTTAAAAAATATATTTTTCCATATTTACACATGCCTGAAAGATCTCTGAGAGATCCTACACTTCCTTTGCCCCCCTCCACCAGACATATACTGTTTCCAAGTCTATAAGTAATTTTTCCCCAAGATTTTTAAAGGGGAACATGAATCTCACTGGGGTTATAGACTAAAATAGATTTGACTAATTTCATCCTGTTGGCAATTTGGGATGTTGCTAAGTTTCCTTTGTTACAAATATTTTCATACTTTTTTATGGCTAGGTCTTTGTGCACATTCAAGGTTGTGTTGGAGGCAGATGAGTTAGATAGAAATATTATCTTATAGGTAGTTAGACAGGGCTGGGCCCTCAGAAGGAGCCAGTAGGGAAGACGAGATACCTTGTAACTGTGGGAGAGAGACAGACACTCCAGCTGTGGGCCAGGTCTTGAGACAAAAGATAAAACAAGTGCATGCCTCCCTAAGGATAGACATCAGGAATTGACATTCTAAATAGGTTTCTATCACCTTGAGAAAGTAAAAAAGAATCACTAACTCAATGCCCTACAGAAGAAGCCCCTATTCTGTATCATACCCTGTATTACAAGTATGCTTGTAATCTTATGGGTTGACCATAATTTTGCCCCACCTCATACACACCTAGACAGTTCCCATGATTCCTACCTTAGATCCACCTCATGTCATGGTTTTGCTCTATAAAAAATCCCTAGAAAAGGCAGATTCCAAGGCAACCCACTCTGGTCCCTTTCTGTCCCTCTCTTGGGCAGAGGCTTTATTTTTCCCAACAAATAGATTCTACTCTTAACCTCTATTGCTCAAAAAATTCAGTCTTCAGTTTTAGAGAACATGAACTCACCCCAGGTACCTTTCAGGTTGGGACTTTCATTCTCCTGTCTCAACTGTCTACTTGGAATGAGGACTTTTTTCATTCTGGAAATGTAGAACATGGCTATTTTTCTGTTCTATGTTCAATTTCTATTTGTACAATTAACATGTGTTAATAATTGGAATGAAATTGAAGAACATACATTTCTTGACCTTAGGCTTGACAATGGCCTGAAATAACCACGTGGCATAACACAAGGAAGGAGGGAGCTCTGCGAGCCACATCTGCCAGGCCATTCAACTTAGTCCCAGCCAATGCCCAGGATCCTGGGTGAATCATGGGCCATTCCTGTCCATTTTTTTCATTTGAAAAATAAGAGAGGGCTAAGTGAATGCCTATAATGCTAGCATTTGGGAGACTGAGGCAAGAGGATTGCAAGTTCAATCCCAGGATGGGTGAGTTAGTAAGACTCTATCTCAAAATAAAAAAGGGCTGAGGTTTAGCCCAGTGCAAAGGCCCTGAGTTCAGTCCTCAGTACTGCCAAAAGTGTGTGTGGAAATGGTAAATGATGCAGTTTGCATTTGTGAGGTGTTGTAAGAATGCCTCTCCCTCCCAGCTAGCAGCCCCACCAAGAAAGCCTCTAATGAGTTGTGCTGGGTTGTTTCATAAAGGTGCCAAACTGCAGCACCATTTTTTCCCCTTGGTACCTTGCTTTGCTTCTTTATGCCCGTGTGAATTCAGGGAGGAAGAAGACAAGAGTTCTGATTGGTGACAACTAACCATCATAGCCCAGTAGTGCCTGAGTTTAGTCCCAAACTGGGAACTAAACTTTCAAACTTAAGAGTTTTTCTTATTTACTAATAAACATTATAGAAAAAGGATCCTGGAAATGGGGCCATTTCATTGCCATTTACCTACCTGGTAGTAAGCTCCAATTCATTACCGAGGGTATACAGAGACAATACGTACCCAACAAACGAAGGAGGAGAAAAAGAACTCCGAGGGCATAAGACTTGAGTTCAGGGCTGACTGTCCTACATAAAGAGATAAAGAGAAAAGAAAAAGATCCTTATCACTCTGCTTCAATCAGGGCCAACGTCATTCTTTGCCATCCATTGTCCATCAGAGCTCTTCTTTATAAAATTACTCATAGTTTTCGTTTTTTCTTTTTTTTTTTTTTTTGTTTCCCTGCCCAAACTCTAAAAATGATTGCAACTGCAGTGCCAAGATACATTTAGGAATTTAACAGTGTTTTTTTAACAACTGGAGCTAATCTTGTCATGCACAGGACTGAATACCAATGCGGTCACAAAGTGCACCCAGTTTGCTTTTGATGAATGAGGGAGCGTCTTGCACAGGTGGGCCACATACACGTGGAAAACAGTGGCAGAGGAAGTTGTTCCCTATGCTCTGCACCCCTGCTGGAACCATGAGCCCCTTGGTGCTGGCCTCGGTGGAACTCACAACCCTGGCATGTTTTGACACCTCGATGGCCATTTGGGACATGAAGCATCCATACGCAGGATCTAGACCCTTTCCACCTGGAAAGATATCTTGTAAAGCCATGTTTCTTTCTTGCAACTGATTTGATTTCCCTGGCCGAAGTTTGCCTAGAACACTCCCTTAGGGAGACCGTCTCATATGCCGGCCTTAACAGCCTCATAGCGTAACATCTGCTGGGATGCAGAGACAGCAGAGCGGTGACCGCTTCTAGACAGATGGGTGCACAGCAGGTAGCACAGTCTCCTTTACAGTGCCTCATCAGCTTGTAAGTGGTTTGCTCAGGGATCACCTTCTCAGCCGGAGGCCAAGGAGGTTTCTTTGTATCTTGTCCTACATGACCTCGACCCGCTGTGTGTCCAGCTCATTGCATGTGCTGGTGAATGCTGGAGCAGGGGGGTGGCCAGACGGCTCTCCCACTTACAAACCAGGGCCGTCCTGCCTGTGGGTTGGCGGTGAAGAAATGAGAAGGGAGACACAGCGACCACATGTACTTACACCTCAGGTCATGTTCAGAGCCACTGGCAGAAAACCTTCCCCTTATCTGTCCCCATCATGAGTCCCTCTGGCAGAAAGAGGAAGCGTGTGACCATGCCTCTTGAGGGCCTTGAGGAGGCACAGCCAATCCTGGGTGACTGAGCCTTAAGGCACACCCAGGAATCTTTTAATGTGGCCAAAACATCAGAGACTCACGCAATGCAAGGAGGACCCAGCAATTGGTTCTGGAGAAAATAAAGGTTAGGAACCAAGTTAGGAACCAACAGGGTATTCAGCACACAGCATATGGAGCCTGTGTATGGACTTGGTGGCCAGAATGGTATTCTTAAACAATTCCTGGGGCATCTAGCCAATGGCCTACCATGTGGTCTGAGCCTCAGCTGTGCATGTCTGGGGCTTCAGGGTATGACAGGGTAAAAGTGACTATGAGAACAAAAGGAACTGCAAATGTGCCGTCCACTGTGTACGTCCTCCCAGATGGTGGGGCTTTTAGGAGACCATGCAGTTCTGTGGGTGGTGCCCTTAAGACTAAGATTAGTGCCCTTATAAATTATGTCTCAGTAAACCCCTGATCCCTTTTTTCCATGTGGGGACGTGAAGAGAATTTGCCATCTACAAACCAGGAAGCACGGCCCCAGAAAGTAATCTTTCTACTCCTCACCTTGGATTTTCTAGTCTCCAGAACTGTAAGAAATAAATTCCCATCGTTCACAAGAAAACAGTAAATCAATGTTTTTTACAATGTCTGCTCCTCTTTCTCAGATTTTTGGGGAAAGCTAAAAAATGAGTTATTTGTAGAGAATTACACATTTCTTTTAATTATAAAGAGTATAGTATAGGCAGCAGGTCACGGCTTTCACGGAGAGGTAAACCTGACTCTCTGCTTCTGAATCCTGATCCCAGTGAGCAGTCTTTAGAAAATACGTATCACGAGGGCCAGCCAAATAGCTCAGTGGATTAAAGCACCTGCAAGCAGGCACAGGGGCCAGGGGTTTAATCCCCGGGCCTGCTGTGCTGGCCCCACCCATGGGGTGCACTGAGACAGCCATTGAGACTGGGCATGGTGGTGCGAGCCTGTAATCTCAGCTCTTGGGAGGCTGTAAACAG